GAAAATGGCGTATATCAAGGTTTCTATGGGGGACGTCGCGTTGTTCATCCGGAGGTCAAAGACGGATCAGATGGGGGTGGGCGCCTCGGTTCGGATTAAGGCTACTGATCAGCAGTTCTGCCGGTCAGGTTGCTGCGGGAGTTCTTGGAGGTAACGTGGGTTGGCAGCAGGGTCGCTGTTAAGGCATTGGGATGGGTCATCACTCAGCCGATTTCAATTCACCAGAGTGCTTCGGGCTGGGGTGATAAGTATTGGATTGTCTCCCGGACGTTATACTATGCACTCCTTCAGGATTGGGGCGGCTACTCAGACGAGTATGCTGGGTCTTCCATCAGAGGCTCTCAAGCGGTTGGGGTGATGGCAGTCAGGGCGGTTCCAGCACTTGCTTTAGGCCAGCGGCACAGTTATGTTTTTTGTTGTTTAGTTCTAGGTTCTTCCCAGCGTTTTATTTGGATAATCGAACACTCCTTTGTGTATTGGGCAGCTAGACGGGCCGAGAGTAGACAAAGGTAGATAAAGGATCAGCGTTGTATGTTCTAATGTGAGCTGAAAATAAATAGAAAGCTGCAACCTATAAATATGAGGTTCCCTCTAATGTCCTCAAAAGAAAGATGGCAGAACAAAAATAATAATAGGCCGAGAGTAGACCCTATGGCCGGATCCTCGGTTTCCCATACTAGATAGCAAGGGTACGTTGGAAGGGTATCCGGGGGCTGTCCTGGGACTGGTTATATGCTGCGCTGATTCAGCTCAGGCGCCACGTGTCAGGGCCGGTGACCCTGGTGATTCACGTGGGCGGGAAAGATGTTGGACGACGACGGTCAGTGGATCTGGTGCACAATGCGCATGAGGTGGCCCGCTGTGTCGCGTTGTTCGAGGACCTGACCCTCGTCTGGTCGAGATTGTGCCTCGCCCGGTTTGGCGAACCGAGGGAAAGGGTAAGGCCCGAGAGCGCTATAGGCGGAAGGTCAATATGACCATGTCCCAGTTCGTGTGCCACCTGGGTGGTATAGTAGTAAGGCACATTGAGTTGGAAAGGGACAATGATGCACTAATGAAGCGAGATGGTGTGCACCTGTCCCCCATTGGGTTGGACATCTTTATCATGGGCCTGCAAGCAGGAAATGAGGAGGCGCTGTCGGCAGGGGGGCGCGATGCCCGCGCAGTGTAGTGCGCGAGGAGGGGCATCATGGTGGCGGTTTCCCTGGACAGCGCAGAGGAAGAAAGGAACATTGGGGAGACGACAGCCGGCACAGAGCTGATGGCGAGGAGCTTTATGTCGAGGCTCATGGTACCGAATGTGCGTGAGAACTGCCTGTTGGGCAAACACCCAACAGCTGGCAGATTTGGACTAAGTTACTAATCCACAAGAATGAGGTGTCACGTGTATTAATGAGGGGCAACAGGTTGTTGGTTGGGACTGGTTGGGTCAGCAGTCAAGATTCCCCCTGGAACAATTAGGAAGGGGGAACATGACTGCTGCCAAAGATTGGGGGATGGATCAGGGAAGATACAATGTTGCTAATGTTGGGGGTTCTTAAAGGACCACTATAGTGCCAGGAAAACATACTCGTTTTCCTGGCACTATAGTGCCCTGAGGGTGCCCCCACCCTCAGGGTCCCCCTCCAGCCCGGCTCTGGAAGGGGGAAATGGGTAAAAACTTACCTTTTTCCAGCGCTGGGCGGGGAGCTCTTCCCCTCCGATCCTCCTCCGTTCCTCCCCGTTGGCTGAATGCGCACGCGCGGCAGCAGCTGCGCGCGCATTCAGCCGGTCGCATAGTAAAGCATTATCAATGCTTTCCTATGGACGCTTGCGTGCTCTCACTGTGATTTTCACAGTGAGAATCACGCAAGCGCCTCTAGCGGCTGTCAATGAGACAGCCACTAGAGGATTTGGGGGAAGGCTTAACCCATTCATAAACATAGCAGTTTCTCTGAAACTGCTATGTTTATAAAAGAATGGGTTAAGCCTATAGTGGTCCTTTAAGGAAAAGGAGAGGGAGGGGACTTACCAGTCAGCATGATCAGTTGAGGGCTCCTGACTGTTTTCCCACCCTCCCTCCCTGTTTCTGGTGTTGTGGCTTGTGTCTTGTGCTGTTGTTTTTTGTGTTGTCACAGCTTGGCGGTTTCCCTGGACAGCGCAGAGGAAGAAAGGAACATTGGGGAGACGACAGCCGGCACGGAGCTGATGGCGAGGAGCTGGCTGTCGAGGCTCATCGTACCGAATGTGTGTGAGAACTGCCTGTTGGGCAAACACCCAACAGCTGGCAGATTTGGACTGAGTTAAATTGTTAATTTAAATAAAGCTGTGGCCGTTGCCCTTATCCAGAAGAATGAGGTGTCACGTGTATTATTGGGGGGCAATGGGTTGTTGGTTGGGACTGGTTGGGTCAGCAGTCATGTGCTCCTCAGTGTGTATGCTTTTGTGAATCCCGTTGATATCTGATCCTTGACCTACCTGCCTGCTATACCATTTCTGAATCTGTGCTACCTGCCCCTGACCTCGGCTTACAACAAGACTTGTGACAAAATTAACAAAAAATTCTGTTTTTCGTTCAGAACACTGCTGGAACACTGAGAGTGAATTAGTAGTGTTTCTTGTTGGATTGTGTTCTGTTTCTTACACTCTAACTGAGCGAAAATAAGGTAACTAGTGAACTAAACACCTGGTGAGTAAGAGAGAATTAAAGTGACACTATAGTCACCTGAACAACTTTAGCTTAATGAAGCAGTTTTGGTGCATAGAACATGCGCATGCAGCCTCACTGCTAAATCCTCTGCCATTTAGTTAAATCCCTTTGTTTATGACCCCTAGTCACACTTCCATAAACACTTCCTGTAAAGAGAGCCCTATTTCGGCTTTCTTTATTTCAAGTTCTGTTTAATTAAGATTTTCTTATCCCCTGCAAGAGCCTCCTGTATGTGATTAAAGTTAAATTTAGAGATTGAGATACAATTATTTAAGGTAAATTACATCTGTTTGAAAGTGAAACCAGTTTTTTTTTCATGCAGGCTCTGTCGATCATAGCCAGGGGAGGTGTGGCTAGGGCTGCATAAACAGAAACAAAGTGATTTAACTCCTAAATGGCAGTGAATTGAGCTGTGAAATTGCAGGGGCATGATCTATACACTAAAACTGCTTTATTTAGCTAGTAATTTAGGTGACTATAGTGTTCCTTTAATCTTTTAGCCGTTTTAACCACTGCAGACGTATTCTCTCCATTGTCTAACATTTTGATATAGTTATTTTGGGTTTTTTTGTATGTATTTTTTCTTCGTAATAGAAGAAACAAGGAAGGTAGTGTAAGTTTATGATAGTGCTGCAGTTCATAGCCCTGTAAAGCACTGTGTTGTTGTTTTTTAAAAACTGTTTTGCAAGAATATAAAATTAAAGAAATCTATTAGACAACCCAGACAACTGGTGAATAAGAAAGGATTCATCTTTCAATAGTTTAACCATTGCAGATTTATTCTCTCCTTTCTCCAACATTTTGATTTAATTATTTTTATTTGTTTTTATAAGTCTCAAACATTGACTGTATGCTGGTGATTTTCTGCCAAGTGACTGTAGCTAAGTTGGGGAACTATTAATAAACTATTATGTCAGGGGTCAACAACCTTTTATAAATGAGGCCTGAATGCCATGTCTGTAAATGGTGGAGGGCCACCTTCATCAATACAGCTAAAAGAATGACAATAAAAAATGGATCTATGCGACGGTAGTCACCATCACTGGGAGCAGAAGTTTACATAGGTTCTTGAATTGGTCTTATGTTTTAGTCATCTTGTGTCCATTATAGCTGCAGGTTGTGTATAATGTAATTTTTTAGTGTTAAATGTTTTGTGCGCTCTCCTGTGCTGCTGATTCTCTCAACCAACTAGGTGGATTTGGCAGTGGAACCTCTACAGCGCCATCTGTTGGTTGTGAGGATTTTGAAACAGCTATATGCACTACCTGAATAGCCAGGCTTGTTAATTTGCATATTCAGGTCGATTTGCAAATTATTAATTCTACAGGTAGGAGACATATTTCGTGTTAATTATTGTCTTTCCACCCCTTTATAATATGTTATTATGCTATTATAAGTTCCTGTATGTTTTATGATATGATTTGGCTATTTGTATTTTATTGAGTTTGTCACAGCAAGTTTACGCAGACTCCTAAACAGTTAGTTTCACACTATAGTGTGTGTCAGGAATACGTTTGTATCCCTGACACTGTAGTTTTCCTTTAAGTAAAACTTGCATTTTTTAAAATTAACCTTTGTACTTCACACCCCACACACATCCTGATACACACACTTACTAGCCTATATATACACACACACACATACAGACACATTTACAAACTGACACAAAAATACAGACACACATAAATTGACCATACACAGACACATACGGACATATATACATAGACACATATAAACTGATCCATCTTGAGACCCTCTGACACTAATATTGTTCACTGGCACAAACAAATTACAGATTCTCTCTCTGCATAGTCCCATTATTTATTTTCACATACCTGCTGCTGCCCAGTGACTTCTTGGGCCATCTCCAGCTCTGGAGCTGGGGTCCGAAATGTCACTAGGTTTCTCCTGCATACAGTGTCAGCCACCAGGACATGACTTTACATGATATCTTGGCAACCTACATGTCTGTTTGTTTTGAGGAAAAACCATGCGCTGCTGCTACTCGCAGCTCCTCAACACGTTTAGGGAAAAAAACAATGTTTACCCTGGCAGCAGCCCCAGCTACAGGAGCCCCCTGGGAAATTTCCTGCTTTCCCAGTAGGCCAGTCCAACCCTGGGCCAAAGTCTGCTGCTGCTGTTTTGAGTGAATATCTTCCTTTATGCCATCTTGGCCTGTACTTATGTCCAAAGTCTTCTGCTGCTGATCAAAGTGAATCCCTTTCATGGTTGTGACTGCCACCTTTACCTGTACTCATGTCCAAAGTCTTCTGCAGCTGTTCTGAGTGAATCCTTTTAGTGGTGTGACTGCCACCCTTTTCCTGAGCTCTCATCCAAAGTCTGCTTCTGCTGGTGTTCTGAGTGAATATCCCCACTGTAGGATTGTGACCTCCAGCTTTTCCTCAGGTTCATGTCTCAAGAGTCAAAGTCTCCTGCTGCTGTCCACCTTAGAAGGTCTTCTTACCCCAGTGCTTTTTCCTCAGCTCACGGCTAAAGAGCCCAGTCCTCCTGCTGCTATTCTTAAAATACCAGCTCAGACTCTCTCTCTCCTCTCTGCAAGATTAAGAACGTTACGGCATGAGTATGTAATACACACATTGTGTATGTGTATCACTGCCATTCTCTAGGCTCACGTTTTTTTATTTATGTTTTTTTACTTAACAAAAGATAATAATCAATAAATCGATGAGATATACAATGACAATGACTACATATTTAAGATGAGTAAGCTAACTTATTATGTTAATTAACGATGAACAGAACATAAAAAAAATTATTTTGTTTAAATGTGATTTTTTTTAAGATTTGTATTACGTAAATATTCAAATCATTCATATTTTATTTGACTGTGAGTGGGTGTATGCAATTGCATATTGTTTCTTTAAAAGAAATATATTTTGCTTTCATTTTGTATCAATCCTGTTTTCATCAATCCTGTTTTACAAACAGGATTATCGTTGAACAATATTCGTTATATAGATTAAAATATTTACAGAATTCCAGAAGAACTGAATAGATATGTGAACAAATATGGATTATTCAAAATGGGGGGAAAATTCAGGATGAATGAATGAACCGAAACTGCAATTCTTTCTGTGCTTATCTCTAATTGCTAACAACTGATCTACATGTCATATAACCTCTTTATAGGCAGTTTATGGGATATGCTGTTGAGCATGTTGAAAAAGCTGAGTCATTCTGATTTGAGCAGTATTAAAGGGAAACTTCAGACCAACCCCTAAACAATTTCAACTGATTGAAGTGCTTTTTTTGTCCCTTTTTTAATTTTACCAAAAAATTCAGATTTCTAAAAAAAATTGCTCTTTTATGCAATAACCTCGCGACTCCCCTCTGGCTGTCAATCAGACCACCGGTTCGAGTGAGGCAGAAATTGTACGCATCACCTGCCTTGCAAAGACTTCTCATTGAGCTATATTGGGAAGTCTGTGATTGGACAGCCACATAAAGTCTGGGAGGAGTTAGAAGGGGAGGACTTGCAAAGGTTTCAGACAAGAGATCTGCAGCTTTTGCAAGCTGTTTTTAGATATATCTCCAAGTAAAAAAATGGATAAATAATTGAATGCATTGTTTTATTGGGGGTATATCTAATTAACATTGATTTATTTTTATTTTTTTACATTTGGGCAGTGGCGTGAACCTTTAAATGCAGAAGCCCCACGTCTTAGAGATTTGCACCCAATGCAGAAACTTCAAAGGAAGTTCATCTTTACTTTATTATTTTAGCTAATAGATTGCTGATGGTCTGCTACTAATATTATACAGGAATTTTCTAACTGCACAGGATAACTCTCTGTTTGTTTTGAACATCCAAGGCCAATGAGTATAAAGTTGATTCTAGCTAAATTTCAATTCTGAAAGGAAATCAGACTAAACTGAGAGACCACTTCTCCACCCAAACTCCAGGGGGCTTCCGAAGAATTACATAACAGTTATAGCTCTGGATTAGTTTCAACAAATATGTTGAATATTAAGCAAGTGATGGACAGATTTATAATATTTTCACAAAACATTTTTATTAAGGCAGCGTTATAAAGAGTGCATGGTTAGTGGAGTAAAAAGGAAAAGTAGTTGAACTGATAGCAGATGTTTCAGAGAGAATAAAGAAGGGCATACAACAGGAGGAAAAGCCACAAGCATTTAACAAGACAGATTAAAGGAAACAAATATAGTTAATGGAAGTTAAAGTTGCTGACGTGGAAAGTGATGTCAGGTGGAGTTTGCTAACTCCAGGAAGATACCCAAGATCCTGTCCTAATGTGTTTTACACCCCACCTCCTATAGAATGTAAGCTAGATTGAGCAGGGTCCTCTTCAATCTATTGTTCCCATAAGTTTTTTGTAATAGTCCTATTTATAATTAAATCCCCCTCTCATAATATTGTAAAGCGCTACGGAATCTGTTGGCGCTATATAAATGGCAATAATAATAATATAACATATAGGGAACCAAACAATCTAGTTGTTCATTTTAATTTTGGAAAACGAAAATAAAAAAGCTGTATTGGAAAAAGACAATAGTGTTCATATGCAACTGCAATTCAGCACAGCACTAACTCATCCCTCATACAATTCAATTCAACATACAAAACCAGGTAAGGCTCTTCACCAGGTAAAAACATACATGTCTTAGTATTTACATAAAGGAAGCACTCTAAAACATATTCACTGCAGCTTGGTGTAGTTGTTATGTTGTCTAGAGAATATGGGATTTGGGGGGGCTGGAAAGGGAGCAAAGGGGTGATTGGCCCCTGGGAAACCAGCATAAGAAGGCTGGCAGTGGAGATATAGGCTGCAACCTCAATATTCTTCTACTAAAATAATAGAATGTGCATTGGGTTGCCTGTTGGCATATTACTGCAGGAGTGTTGCACTGGGAAGTATTTTGCAGAGTCTTTCCTAGATTAACACTGTGTAGATTTGTACGTGGGCTTGCAGCCTGCAATCACAGTGGTTTCCAGGCCTGGTCCTCCAGAACATTTCCTAGTGCACTGCAGTATCGGAGGCCGACCAAGCTACCAGACTATGAGGTGTTTACAAATAACTGCAGTCTAGGGGACGGGGCCTGAGTGCTGGCTGAGCAAGTCCCAAGTAACAGGAGCTCCTCGGGGAACAGTTGCATCCAAGCATGTAAATCAAGATAACAGTATTTTCAGCTGTCATCTGGCTCTACTTGCTTGGGGAATACTGTGCCGTTATTTTAGGATTTAATCTTTCTCAGGGTGTTTCCAGAGCTTATGCTGTTTGAGGTCAGCGGACATTTCTGTGGTTTAAGACATGGCCAATCCTCCACCCTGAACATGTTCTAGTTTTTACCTGGGCAATGATTTCCCACAGATCGGCTGGGTTATCCCAGACCCTGCTGGGGTGCTTATTCTGCCTTATCTGAGGGACTCTTGCTGACCACATTTACTTTCCACCCAAAGCCTCTTCTTTCAAGATGGCCGTCTTCCTGGGGCCTACTTCTCAGCCTATCACTACTCTGCGATACTCTTTAGTGGATCCGATTATACAAGCTTTCGACCAGCTCTATCTATGGCAATGGGAGTTTTTGCTTCACCGTGCTATCTGAAGTACTTCATGCCAGCTTATGATCGGGGCTCCTGGCCACAACGTCCTTTACAGGGATTTAGGATAACCACCCCATTTACCTGGACCAAAAATTGGTCTTTCAGCCAACTTTACTAATAGTAAGTAAAAAAAAACTTAATATTAGTAAATAAGGGAGGTTATAACCTCTCTTCTGCTCCTACTTGCTATGCAGCGTTTAGGGGCATGTAAAATAAAATAAAAAGACCCCTCCAAATTCAATAAAGGAGCATCACACCCCCAAGGTGTGGCAAAAATTTAAATAATCAATAAGGGGGGAACATAGTGTCCCCCTCCAGTCCCCACCTGTGCCCCACGTGTTGGGATATTAAACTAAATGGGGGACCTAATGTCCCTCCTAGCAGGTGGGGGCCCTAAGTAAAAAATAGGGGGAACTATTGTTCCAACGCAGCCCCTACCCATTGCCAGTGGATGTGGGCCCTAAGTAATAATTGGGGGGAACCTATTGTTCCGCTAACCCCTACCCATTGCCGGCGGGTGAGGGCCCTATGTAATAATAAGGGGGAACCTACTGTCCCCCACCACCCCCACCAATCAGTGGCAGGTACGAGCCCTTAGTAATAATGGGGCGGGGGAACCTTTTATACACCCCCAAGCCCGCACCTATTACGGCGGGTGGGGCCCTTAAGTAATAACAGGGGCGGACCTATTGTCTCTCCCCACAAGCCCTCACCCATTAGCGGCAGGGAGAGACAATAGGTCCCCCCCCCCCCGTTATTATCAGAGCAAGTTACCATTAGATGTCTTATTTTTTTCTTCAATTTTCGTTTTTCAGCACCAAAAAACCCCAAATAAAATTCCATAAATCCCATCAAATTAATAAAATAAAAATGGACCCAGACACAAAAAAACACAGCGGAAAAATCCCAACAATAAAAATGAATCCACCTTCACCCAGTGAGGGATCCACGCAGACTGAACTCTGCAGGGCGGGGAAAGGCTTACAAAACATTATCACGCCCTGCAATTTGAGTGTAAGCCAACCAATCAAAGTGCTCTGACAGGTATATATTGAGCCTTGCAGGTAACCAATAAGGTAAGGCACAAGATTTACCTGTCAATGGGCTGTGGGGGGAACAATAGGTTCCCCTTCTATTATTACTTAGGACCCCCACCAGCCAGCAATGGGTGGGGGCTGCTGAGGAACAATTGGTTCCCCCCTATTATTACTTATGGCCCACACCCAGCCATCAATTGGTAGGGGCTGGTAGGATACAATACGTTACCCCTCATTATTACTTAGGACCCCCACCGGCCAGCAATGGGTAGGGGCTGGGGGGGAACAATAGGTTCCCCTCCATTATTGATTAGGGTCCCTACCTGCCAGCACTAGGTAAGGGCTGGGGAGAACAAATGTTTCCTCCATAATTAATTAATTAACCCATGTATTCATCATATCTGATGGCAGTGAGCCGAACTAATGAATGAGCACTGAAAGAATAAGACACTCGTGCATTCATGGGAATGCACGAACAGCTCATTCATTTCATTTTCATTAATCAGATATGATAGAAGTGTGCAAAAACAAATGGCTCTCCAAAATAATTAGCCATTCGTGCATTCGGATTAATCGTTCGTCCTGTTGAATTACAGACAGTGTAGTACAAAAGGCCAAAAGTGAATTGTGAATGAACAAACAAACAAATGGCAAATGGAAAAATTTTGTTCGGCACCCCATTTGTTATTCGGACGAATGGACGAAAATGCTAATTTTCATCCGAAAATACATTAGTCCGAATACGAATGGCCAAGTATACTAGTTATATTTCGTGATACACTGATTACATTCTGTCTAGCACTAGTAATGTCAGGGGGTTAAGTCTGGTTGATTTTGCTTTGGTTTAATTTTGTTATTATTGTTTCCATTTTCTTGAGTAGTTTGTTCACACTAGCCATGTGTTTCTGGGCTTATACCAGCCCAGCAATACTCTAATGCCTAATTGCCTCTTAGATCAGATAACCTTCCAGGGACCCACTGTCATGATCTTGAGCAGGTCAGGTAAGAGACTTTGGCCAGAGTTAATATTGGAGGCTTTATTAGTGAATTTGGACATAGCAGAAAACAGCAGGATATCTTATAAATTAAATAATAGGGAGAAGGAAATAAAGAGAAACAAAGGTTTAGGCAATATGCCCTATATACATAATAAACAGAATGTAGGTAGATAATAAGAGAACGTATAGATAAAAGTATAAGTTGAATATAGAGGGACACGTATGAAAGAATAGAACAGAACAACAAGGTTTCAGGAAAATAGGAAAAGAAGACTTTAGTGAACCACCTTGGAAAGAGTACTGATAAAGTATGGAAATAACACCTTGTAATAGGAATTAGCAACAATGTCCAGATAGGTGTTATGCAGCTTGGTGTAAATCAGGATGGCAGGATAGAAGCGTATATTAGGCTAGTTTGGAGCAGGTTGGGATAAAGCTGGTTGGCAGGATAGAGGCGTAGGTTAGGCTGGTTTGGAGCAGGTTGGCAGGATAAAGCAGGATAGAGGCGTAGGTTCTTAGGTAGGATTACAGGAGCCAGGAACAGAAGTCTTACAGGATGAGCATCAACTTCATTGTAAAGGCAATGTGGTGAGTTGGGTGTAGCCTTTTGTAGCTTCTTAATTAGTCCAGGCAGGTGAAGATGATGAAGGTAAAACATAAACTGTGCAGGAACTTGGTTTTAAAGAAACAGAATAAACTAAAAAAACTTATTTGTCAGGATAGGATCCTGACAACCAAACTCCAACTGCTGCTCATCCCACTACCCATCCACTGCCCAACCACTGACCAACACAATAGCTTCCCTCAACATATGAGGAAAGGGATTTAGGGGTGATTATTTCTGATGACTTAAAGGTAGGCAGACAATGTAATAGAGCAGCAGGAAATGCTAGCAGAATGCTTGGTTGTATAGGGAGAGGTATTAGCAGTAGAAAGAGGGAAGTGCTCATGCCATTGTACAGAACACTGGTGAGACCTCACTTGGAGTATTGTACACAGTACTGGAGACCGTATCTTCAGAAGGATATTGATACCTTAGAGAGGGTTCAGAGAAGGGCTACTAAACTGGTTCATGGATTGCGGGATAAAACTTACCAGGAAAGGTTAAAGGATCTTAACATGTATAGCTTGGAGGAAAGACGAGACAGGGGGGATATGATAGAAACATTTAAATATATAAAGGGAATCAACACAGTAAAGGAGGAGACTATATTTAAAAGAAGAAAAACTACCACAACAAGAGGACATAGTCTTAAATTAGAGGGACAAAGGTTTAAAAATAATATCAGGAAGTATTACTTTACTGAGAGGGTAGTGGATGCATGGAATAGCCTTCCAGCTGAAGTGGGAGAGGTTAACACAGTAAAGGAGTTTAAGCATGCGTGGGATAGGCATAAGGCTATCCTAACTATAAGATAAGACTAGGGACTAATGAAAGTATTTAGAAAATTGGGCAGACTAGATGGGCCAAATGGTTCTTATCTGCCGTCACATTCTATGTTTCTATGTTTCTGTACCACCTCAACACCTATTCACACACTACACCTATGCACACACCAGGAACTTTTCCCAGATCATCATGTATACCCCAGCCATTTCTCCCTCAGCACCCATCTAGAGACCAGCCACTTCTCTCCACCACCCTGCCACACCAGCACTTTCTCCCACTATCCATTAACAACCAGTCACTGCCAATTCAATACAAAATCTATCCTTGCTACTATTGGCAATCATGAGTGTAAACCCATTTCCACAAATCAATCATGCCACAAGCTGCTCCTCCAATAATTTCTTATAAATTCTTATTCCTTACCTTCCAGTTCTCCTGCATGACAAAACTTCTCTCCATTCCGCTTCCCTTCCAAATCAAACACATTTTCCTCGTTCACTCTTTATTTTTCATTACACCACTTGCCCTCTTTTTCGAATACTCACAATCCATTATGCATCTTCTCACCCCTCAATTATATATCTCCATCCTATGTCATCCAAAACATCCCCCTTCATTACACACCCATCTTCCTTTAACTTTTTATCTCCAATAAATATCCCCTAACACTCTTCTCATTAGACATTTTCTATTTCACACCATGTGTGACAATAGTCACCATCACTGGGAGCAGAAGATGGACACTTTATGTAGGTCCGCAGACAGTGGCGGATCCAGAGCCTGATCTCGGGAGGGGCACTTGTAGATTATTTAAAGAAATAATCCAGACACAATAACCACTACAGCTCAGTGTAGTGGTTATGGTGTCAATAGTGCCAGGACCCCCTCCTAGAGTAAGTAGTCAAACCGTTTAAGAACAGTTTGACAACTTACCTGAGGTCTGCTGGGAAATTAGGCTGTAGTAGGCCATAGGAGCAGTGGTGTGTGTGAGTGGTGCAATGTGTAAGGGGTGCAGTGTGTGTGTGTGTGTGTGAAGGTTGTAGTGTGTGAGTAGGGGGGGCAGTGTATGTCAGGGGTGCAGTGTATGTGTGGGACAGTATGTGTGTGACAGTATGTGTGTGTAACAGTTGCAGTGTGTGTGTGTGTGTGTGTGAGTGTGGGCAATGCGTGTGTATGGGGCGGCAGTGTATGGGGCAGTGTGTGTATGGGGGGCAGTATGTGTGTATGAGGGGGCAGTATGTGTGCATGGGGGGCAGTATGTGTGCATGAGGGGGCAGTATGTGTGTATGGGGGGCAGCATGGGGGCAATGTATATGTGTGTGTGTTAAGGGGAGGGGGGCTTTTTTTTTATAATATATATTTTTAAATATTTAATTTTAAAAAAAAATATATCCTATGTCCCCCCTCCCTTCTTACCTTTCCTGGGGAGGAGGGGGGACATATTTCGATCCCTGGTGGTCCCAGTGGTGATTCCCTGGTGGTCCCAGTGGGGAGAGTGAGCTCTAGCCCGCGCTCCCGGGCTAGAGTTCACTCTCGCGAGATTTGGAGCGTTGCCGTGGTAACCGCGGCAACGCTCCAAATCTCACGAGAGGAGGACCCGGAGGAGCTGCAGACTGAGCTCCGGGTCCTCTCTCTCACTCCCCCGCCGGCTGTCAGCACAGTGCCTGCGGACCGGGGAGGGAGATCTCTGACCTCCCCTCCGGTCCGCAGGCACATTGCAGGGCTAGCACCTGCATGTGCTGACAGGGGAGGGAGAGGGAGACCGGCGGATTTCTCGGGGGGGGCAATTGCCCCGTTGCCCCCCCCCTGGATCCGCCAGTGTCCGCAGATCATTCTAATGGTTTAGTCACCCTGTGCCCATTATAGATGCAGGGTGTGTATAATATAATTGTTTATTTCTAAACGTTTGTGTGCTCTCCTGTCATGCTTGTGCTTTCAGCCGACTACATGAATTTGGCTGTGAGTCTGTACAGCACCATATGTTGTTTGTAAGGATTTTGAAACAGCTGTATGCACTACCTGAATAGCAAGGCATGTTAATTTGTATATAAATAAAGCTGTGTATGTCTATTCATTTTTGAACTGTGTATCATGCTTGGTTTTTTCAGAGATCCCAGTAACAACATCTTTGGACCTGTTGGCTGACTGCTTGGTCCATGGATCCTGAGACAAGTAAAAAAAAGAGTTATGCCTAAGATCCTCAAATCGGGCATAATTGCAATCGGGGTCCCTGAAAGCAGCTAGGAAGTGGACAGAGTGGAGACACTCATTTGTAGTATGGAAGCTCTGTCACACCCTGAATCTCCCTCCTCCAACAGACTTCTTTCCCATGTGCTCATGAGTCTCTTTCCTTCTCCAACATATCTTTAATCTCTATCCATGAGCCTTCCCAACTATCACCCTGTCAAAGCATCCTCACATCAATCAAGTTTTGTTCACAGTATGCAGAGTACACAGGACTCCTAAGTGGCACTACAGAACAGGTGGTGTCAGCTTCATCATGTGACATTGTATGCCTGCAGCTCACTTTTCTGATTGGTGGTTCTATCACATGGAGGCTTGGAACGGCAAAACCACCTTTAGGTCATTTTGGAACCTCTATATTAAGTCATATTTAAGTTCTCACTGCTGTGGAGTGCATTAGAGACCATTTCTACTTGTGGCAGATGGTCATAGGAAGAGTCCACATCAACTGCCTGGAATGTTTAGCTGGCTTGTTTGTCATTTGCAGTCTGTCCCCCAAGGGATCTCATTCTTCATTCTGTTAAAAATGATAATGTCTCTGCAGTCCGTTACATCAATCACCTCATAGGCAAGGAATCCAAGGTTTTAGCGATTCTGGCTCAAGACGTCTGACATTTTTGCCTTCAAAACAACATTTTTGTTAAGGAGTAATTATCGAGCGGTTTAACTGGAGTCCAGGAGAAATGGTATTAATTAAAAGTTGCGCTACAAATAGCAATTATCAACATCTTTAAGACTCTGGTGATTGGTTGGATCTTTAGAGGCCTATGGACACAGATTTTTGGAACTTTCTTGGATACATAACTCTGGTTTTTCAGATGGAGACCAGATCCCGAGGCTGTGTCAGTGGATTTTACAAGACTAGTCTTTGGCCAGACAATATGCTTTCTCACCATTCATTCTGCTGTCACAACTTTCACATCACCTTTAAGGACACAATGGAACTTCAGTTCTAGTGACTCCTTTGGCTGTCTCTACTGTGATTTTCTCAACTTCTGGAGATGTAATTTGATTTCCCTTGCTTGCTCTTGAACTTAGATACCCTCCTCTTAGATCAGGATAGAACACACATGATCTGATCAACCAAGGCCTTCTAACTTGACTGACTTCTGGGGACCCTGGTCTCTATATAGCGTTTCACAGTCAGCACTTGGCCACCAGACAATCTTATCACTTTGCTTGGAACACTTGGAGTAGTTCATGCCGGAACAGTCATTTGGATTCTGTATAAGGTCCTTTAAATTCTGTTTTACAATTCTTGACTTCACTTTTTGAGTCAGATAGGGCCTATCACACTGTTAATCTTTTTAGGTCTGTTTTTTTTTAGGTCATAATAGTCTGCATGGCAACCTCATTGGATGTCACCCTTATGTTCTCAAAAGTATTTGTCTTGGTAGGCTACCTTGATATAGATACTCAGCCTTGTAGGATGGTAATATTTATATTTCGGGATTGCAAGAATAGAAAGATGGTGGCCTACATCACACAGTTATACTCTGTTCTAAGATGTGTTTGTCTCAGTAATTTTGAGGATGGACCTCTATAAGGCACATATACAATTGGGTAAATTAATGCATTACATTAGTAATGCAAGAGTGACTACCCAGTGCAACATTTTAAGACACTACATGCATTTGTGCAATGCCAAGGAATACAGGCACACAATAAAGTGATACTGACACTCGAGCTGCAGAGCAGATGTCCAGTGGAAATATGGTATGAAACCTATCTATGTACCCAGACCCAAGACTGATGACTTTTAACAAACCATGATGATACAGTTAGGTGACCCTGCAGTAAGATACAAAACTGCAGCACATCTATTATTTTTAATAAAACAATGTTCATTTATAACAAATACTTCTTAAGTTATATATAAAATGAGTGAAGCAAAACAGAGTTAAACTTGACATTATACAAAAGTTTAATTCAGTAACACACACTGAGCAGCCACAACATTTAAACCTCATGCTTAATATCATGTAGATCCCCTCGTGCTGCCAAAACAGCTTTGATGCATTGAATAATAGTGATAAAAAAGGTACCTTTTTATCAATGGGGAGCTACTGATTGGCTTAGAGCAGTAGTAGTCAACCTTTTTCTTTCTACCGCCCACTAATGCATCTTTCTTGATTGAAAAATGTCCTCACCGCCCACCAGTTTTCGCGCAAGTGCAGAATATTTTTTAGAAAGGAGGGCATTTTTAAAAAAAATAAATGTACGTACATTTATCTTTTTATTTTATTATGTTTATAATGTTTTTAACTTTATAAAGTTTAATGAGAAAACAATAAAGTAAATTGAAACTACGTTTACTAGTGATTAATAAGATCCTTGAGGTTGATGCTGCGAGACTAAATATTTGATATCTGGTTGGATTTTCTTAAGGAACAAACAAAGGTCTCCTCTTTCGGTGATATTCAGACCACTTCTCTGTTTGCGCATAATATGATTTCTCATCTGTGCGTCAGCTCCCCTCCTCTTTCTCCTCAATTCCCCTCCCCACCTTTCCCCCCCCCCTTTTCTATTTTTTAACCTTAATTATAGCAATGCCCAGTAGGAAGGCTGAGCTAGGTAGCCCACTTACTATAGCCCTCTATAACAGACAGGCACACATACAAGACACACATACAGGCACACACACACACAAGACACACATACAAAGACACATACATACAAACAGACAGGCACACACACACACACACACACATGACACATACATACAAACAGACAGGCACACATACACACACACAAGACATACATACAAACATACACACAGACACACACATAAGACATACAAAGACATACACACAGACACACATACATACAGACACATACATAAGACACACATACATACAAAGACACATACACATACAACACATACATAAAAAGACAAGACACACACAACACATACATACAAAGACAATACACACATACACACACAAGACATACATACAAAGACACACACACACACACACACAAAAGACATACATAGAAAGACACACACACACAAACAAACACACAATTTATATTTAAGTCACCCTTCTGTTTCCTACCTTTAAGGTGCAGGAGGGTGACTTTCCCTGGGGTCCGGTGGTGGCTCAGGTGGATGGGAGTCAGAGTTCCCACTCTGACTCCCTGGTCTTCCTCCCGCGCGGCTCTCGGTGTTAGTTGGGAGGAGTGCCGTGTATTCACTTCCTCCCAGCTCTGTGATGTAATCACAGGGGGCACGGTCGCGCTGTTAAAGCACCCAGTGCTGACCGGGCCCCCTCACAAACCACATCCATCGGGTGGCCGCCCAGGCCGGGAGCCGCAAATGGTGATGGCGGTACCCGGTCGCAGGAGTACTGCCGGCTCGCACCCGCCCACCCAATCTCTCCAAATGAGGAAATCCCTACCGCCCACCTGGAATCCTGAAACGCCCACTAGTGGGCGGAAGGGACCAGGTTGACGACCCATGGCTTAGAGTATCAGCTGACTGCTCTGGCCAATCATAGGTGCCCCTGCCCGGCGACACTGCGAGCTCCCTGAAATTCAGATTCAGAATCCGGATGCATACATGGAGATTGGCGCTGGAGGCAATTATTGACGTTAAACCATTGGAGAATGGTTTCACCCAAAGGCAAAGCATTACTAGGGGGCCCGGTCAGCGCTGCAGCGCTTTAACAGTGCAATTGGGCCCCCTGTGATGACATCAGAGCTGGGAGGAAATGACTTCCCCGGTCACTCTTTCCAGCTTACACACAGCGCCGCACAGGAGGAATGAGAGGAGGGAGTAAGAGTGGTCAGACGTATTGGGGGCGCCTAGGGCAATTTTCGCACCCATGGTTTCTAGTTATGCCTCTGGTCAAGAGGCAGAGTTACTAGCACACTTTAGTGGTTGTGATGCTTGGAGTGTTCAGTTAATGACAGTATAACAGTTCTGGAATATGACAAACAAATGGAGCAGTATATAGACATTCACAATGTCTAACCCCCCCCCACCCCCCCAATGTAACAACCCCCTGACAACTGCATTGTACAGAAAAATAAAGTCACTAGTTAATTGCTGACTCTGACCACTGTACAAGGTATCACATGCTTTATGCCAGTCTTATGCCTAATGTCACAAAGTCATGTGGCTCAAGTATAGTCACATATATGTAGTAAATATACATGAATGCTGCCGTTTACTAGTGTAACATCACTGAGTGCCATTTTTTCTAGATCCCACGATGCTGACCCCATAGAACTCATATCCTGTAAGATAATGAATAGGATGTGCAGGGCAGCAAGAGTCACTATGAAAGCCTGCATTATAACTAAAACTAAACTAACAGACAGTTCCCATTTTTAGAAATATTAATGAAAGCTAAAAATGAGGAGACAAGCATGACTAATCTTCTGCTTTAATGGTTGTAGAAGAGACTCTTTCACTTCTTCTTCCTGTGACTCTTGACTGTGATTCTGCTGTGCAGATGTTGTAGTGATTGATGTTGACGTAAATGGGTGTCTTCCCTGAGTAAAATGGTCTTTATAACACTTTATAAGAGTAGGAGACACCAGGTCTGTGAAATTCACCAATGGGTCGGTTTGCTAGTGAAAACCCCCGAAACATATCTCACATTAGGGTTTGTTGCAGCACATAATACCCCACTTCAACCATTTGGAGGCACTGCTAATAGTTACCCCACTCAAACTGGACAGAGGTAGTAAGTGGTGTTCCTCATGGTTCTGTTCTGGGACTGCTTCTATTTAACATATTTATAAATGATCTTGAAATAGGCATGGAAAGTCATGTTTCAGTGTTTGCTGATGACACAAAACTCTGTAAAGTAATACAATATGAGCAATATATTACTTTACTGCAGAGGGATTTAGACTGGGGGACTGGGCACTCAAATGGCAGACCAAATGTAATGTAGAATAATACAAAGTTATGCACTTCAGGGTAAAGAATTCACTAATATTTAAACACTAAGCAATAGTGAATTAAGGATAACAACACACAAGAAGGATTTGGGAATTGTTATAGGCAACAATATGCAATGTCTTTCAGCAGTGGCTAAGGCCAGTAAGGTATTGTCATGTATAAAAAAGGCATTCATTCTCTGTATATATATGAATATAATTTTTCCTCTTTATAAATCACTGGTAAGACCACGTCTTGAATATGCTGTGCAATTTTGGGCACCTGTTCTAAAGAAGGATATTACGGAACTAAAAAAAGTGCAGAAACAAGCTACATACAAAATACAAACTACAAAATTTATTAAAAAAAAAAAAGAATGGAACAGTTTAGTTATGAAGAAAGCTCAATAAATGTAAACCTCATTAGCTTAGAAAAACAACGCATCAGAGGGGATATGATAACATTAAAAAATTTATCCGGGGCCAATACAAACCATTGTCTGGTAATTCACAAACAGGAATTTGCATAGGACACAAGGTCATGCGTTTAGACTGGATGAAAGGAGATTTAATCTAAGGCAAAGAAAAGGTTTTTTTTTACAGTAAGAACTATAAGGATGTGGAATTCTCTGCCTGAAGAGGTGGTTTTATCAGGGTCCATAAAAATGTTTAAATAGCAATTGGATAAATACTTAAATACACATCAGTGTTTTATCCATTGTTTGGAGAAACATCTTGACTTATGCACGCTCTTCAAAAAAAATGAGATGGTGAGTTGTGAGAGAGTTTCACTGGATAAGTTAGGGTACACTGTATCTCCCTGTATGTACGTAGTGGGGAATCGCGATGCAGCCTAGTACAAATCTAAACCCATTTATCCCCCCAATAATGACAGACCACTTAGTATGGATGAACAGGCCACAGCATTTATTATCACAAACTAAATTACTGCATAACACATCCATAACTTTATTTATTAAATCTCTTCTTTCTGTAACCAAAACGTTAGACATAAATAAGCATAAATTAACATATATACATATATAACTCCACCCATAGTGTTATACAGTGACCCAACCGTCCTTGCCAATAAACATACAGTGGTTCCTAATCACCACTTCCTATCACCTCCCCCCTCGTCATAAAAATCATATATTTCCAATGCCCGCCATCAGCCGACCTTATC